ACACACACACACACACACACACACACACACACGACACACACACACACACACACACACACACACACACACACACACACACACACACACACACACACATGCACACACATCACTCTAGGTCCGAAGTTACTGTAGCGAAAAAGAATCCCCCTCCCCCGCTCCCGCTCCCGCCTAACCCCCTCGGACACCGGCAGCATTCTACCGCATAACTCTAACACAGGTATTCGTTTACATTCACGTAAGACGCTCCAAGCAAAGCAACGTGAAACTGCAAAGCAGCAGTGTGTTGCGTTGCCGAGGTGCCTCTAAGCTATGGCTGGCGCCTGTCTCTCCCAGTACTACAAGTAGCGGTGGTGTCAGAGCGTAAGCCCTTGGAAGAAAAGCGAAAGAAGCCAAATGCTGGACGCAGTACTCTCGCCTCTCTTGATACATCGGTGGGTGAGGGTGAGGGGGGTTTAGATGTGCCTCTAGATAGCCATCGGGTGTGTGTGGGTGAGGGGGTGTTTAGATGCACCTCTAGATAGCCATCTGTAGTCGCCGCGTTCCCCGACGTCTCCCGAAATAAAAGCAGCGGCGAGCTAAAAAGCTCGAGACGAAATGAGGCCAATTTGCGTTAGTTGTTATTGCTAAAGAGCCCTCGGGGACACAAGCACTCGGGCTCAAGGCTCCAGCACGCACGCGTCTGCACCGCCGCCGTCTGTGGCCGTGGTGGTGGTGGTGGCCTCGGTGAAAGCGCCGCTTGTTGTGACCTTCGCTAATTGCCTCGCCTTGGGCAAACTTGCCCGCGCCGAACGCCGACGCGCGCGCCCCCGTACGGTCACATGCGACCACCACACCACTGCGGCGCGCGCGCCCTCGTGCGGTCACCTGCGACTACCACACGACTGTGACGCACGCACTTCTGCTGATGGCGCGAAAGTTTTTATTGGCGACTATTTTATTCGTGCTGTCCTTTGCCACGCAAGGAGGTCGATCAGAGTTTGCGGCCTTGATGCCGTATAGAAACCGCATCAAGAGCTAATAATACCTATTATTAGCTCTTGACCGCATGTATATACGTCCGATTTACGCCTTTACTCGTGGATCCGTTCCGTTCAGTGCTTTTAGACGAACTCAAGGGTCTGGCAACAGAATGTAATGTGAATGATAATGTCATGTTATTATGTATAACAAATTCATAATAAATTAAATAGATAAAATAAACAAATAAGAAAAAATAAATAAACCAATGTATTCAAAAATGTCATTAAACGTACGCGCTTTCTCTCTCTCTCTCTCTCTCTCTCTCTCTCTCTCTCTCTCTCTCTCTCT